TAGCATCCATCCTTGACAATATACAGTACAGTTCAATCCTTCCTTTTTTAACGGTGTTGGCAACAACATTCTTGCAATTGTTATTTAGATATTAAATACATGATATGTTTTGTTACTGTAAATAAACTAACTACAAAGGCATAATCATCTGGAATAGAAAATTATAACCATTCATCTGATCTGTTAGAAACAAATCTAGATGGTAATGAATGGTTCTATACCATACCATTATCATCATCATTATTTATATCAATATAATTGATTTTGGTAATGTTATTAGTATTAAGGACAGTGTTAAGGTTATCGTGGTTGACTGTGTTTTATAATTAATGTTGTCACAGAAGATGTTTAATTGATTCATGATATGGTTTATATTTAATTTCCTCTTTCCTATGATCTACTTGTTGTAGAACAATCACACGGCATCTAAATTCCCATTCTTTTTTTGGAGGTTAAGTTTATGGGTTCTCTGTTTATTTCGTATTGTTTTAGGAAGCCTAATCTCACTAGCCAGATTTCCCCAAAGAAGCTTTCTTTGCAGAGTGAAGATGATTTCGTTTGGTTATTGGTGAAGGAGTGTATAAGCTTGGTTAATGAGGCTGATAAGAGCACTCTATATATAAGGTTCCAGTTTTCCAATAAGATATTGTCCAAAGCGGCTTGGTTGTTGATTATTGTTGGTGTTGTAATACTGGACCAAGTATGTTTTGACCTTAAGTGCATCGAAGGCAACTTGATTTCATGATCTTTGATTTTTCCTTTTTTGTAAAATGATTTTTCACCTGTTTCCATCAATTTCTCAACATCCATATAAACACCACCAGCAGCTTCAATAATTTTTTTGGCCATTATATTTTGTTTATGAATCAAATTCCAATTATAAGGCAACTCATCAATCTCGCTATATGATCTTTCATCTTTTAATGGATGTTGTAGATTACTACAATTTAAATGTCCAACCGTTGAGGCTTTATAAATTATTAAAGAGTTAGGTGATCTCTCTCTTACGAAATTGACCATTGTGATAAGTGATGCGATAAATAATTCGTCATCTTGATAATGATGACCTGTATTAAGAATTATAACATTATAATATCCAATAAAAGCCTTCCAACCAATTGAAATATCATTTAAATCTACAACACCCGATTCAAATAAAGCATTGCTTACGGTTAAATGATCGCTTCTAATGAATTTTACCGATGACTCCTTAAACTCTGGTTTCTCAGGGTCGTCATTATCTTCTACCTTGCATAAAATATGATCTTTACAAAATAACTCACCATAGCATTGAAGTGGTCCTTCACGAAAATAATCTACGAGCAAATCATGAAGTTGGAAACTTGTTGAATCACCATATATTGAAATTCTTCGACCTGATAAAAGTTTACAAGCTTGTTTTTTAGTAAATTTCGGTAAACTACATGTTTCATCTCTATGTTTGTTCTTCCATAGATATTTGACTGAAGCTCTTGAATTTTCAAAATATTCTTTAATTGATGCTTTATCAGTTTCTGATGGTGAATTTTGTACTTGTTGTAAATAATGATTATTTCTATCACATTTGCCAAATAATGGTTCTTGTTTATGCCTTATAACGGGTCTGGGTGTTAAATCTATTTGCCACTCTCCATTTTCTATAATACAATCCAATTTTTTACGAAAAGCTGAAACTTTCTCACTGGTATTTACTTTAGTTCCATAAATCAATTCGCCACGTTTTTCCAGCATACTTTGTTTAAAATCTTTTTCTATAAACCTTTGTGCTTTTAATATTCCATCATTTACTAATTGTTGATATTTACCTTCAAGTAAAAGTTCTTTTTCTGGATTAATGTTATAATTCGATTTTAATTTTTTTTCATCATTATTATAATTTTCATTATTATTATAATCATTTCCTGGTAATAATAAAAAATACGTAGAAAAAAGTATAACGATGATAATAAAGGGTATACGACTTTTATGAAGTAATAGTGACATTTAAAAAGAATAAATAAATTATTTGAATAATAATATGAAAAGAAAAAAAAAAAATTTTAAATTAATGTTAATTGTGTCACTATTTATTGCCAAAGTTCGTAATTTTTTTTGCAGATATTTGAAATCGTTTCCATATTTTAATCAGATCTAGAGTTTTTTCTTATTCTGGCATAGAGTAGTACGGCAAAATGTTTAATTTCTTATAAACTTGCAGAGAAGATAAGAGAGGATGAGAGGAGAGAGGAGAGGGAGGAGGGAGCGTGGTTCATTTATATAGGTGATTTTTTATAAGTTTGCGATCTGTGAAAACCTGTTTATTTTTTTTTCCATAGAAATTAATTTTAAAATTTAAATAATTAACACGTATTAGAAATGACAGAATTCCACATGTTGTCTAATTAATATTAGCTTAATACGAAGAAATTTGTTACTTGTCATGTAATGATCCCTTCCAAAATACGTAAGGTGCTTTATTTCTTAATAATTACTGAGTAAACGAGCGAGCGAGTAAGAGAAAACTTTTGTTTTGAAATCGATCCACGTAATTACCTTTTTTTATTGAATGCAAAAAATAAGTATTGCAGATTGTGAAAATCAATGATATATAAAAATAGAGATGGTATTTTATTTTTAAAAACTAAAAGAAATGAAAAAAAAAAGAATAAAAAAATTATTCAGCATCATCACCTTCATTATTTGCCTCCATTTCATTCTCATTGTCAATATTTTCAATATCTGTACGATCTTCATTATTACCGTTACTGACAACTGCGCTCGTTGCATTTGCCGATTCCGTTTATATATATATATTATAAAACCTGCTTACTTTTCTTCTACAGCCGCGCACGAATTAATTTTAAATTTAATAAATAGCTAATTAACATGATAGAATTTCACATGTATGGTTCCCAGATGTCTAATTATTATTATCGTCATCATCATCATTATGTACACTCATCAAAAAATCATCGGATAAGAAAAACCAAAAATTACAATACTTTAACATGGTTATGGCAGAAATATTATGATAAACTGGTAGAAAATATTAGAAAATATCCTGTGTTGGAGAAACCCATAATAATAATACGATTGGCTGAATAGATTAGTATATAAGCGAGTCGTATGTTTTTATAATATTGTGACACCAAAGAATATCATTAATTTGAAAATTTGGCACTTAGCATAGCATTTGATGTCTTGCACTACGGTGCAGATCATCTATAATCATTAATTGCTTATAGTAACAATTGGTCAACTTCAAAATACTAAAACAAAAAA